TTGGGTTGACTCTTTATTCCAAGTTTCTTCCTGGCAAAGACAATGATCACAGTGCGCATACTTAATAAATGTTACATAATAATAACCATTAAATGTTCCTTTAAAATCTTAAGCAGCTTTTTATCTTTAGCTTCTACTTTGAGATAATTATATACTTCCCCAAAACTATTTATAGCTCCCATCAGGAAGAACAGCTGAAAAAAAATGTGTTCTCAGTCCTGCCAAAACTATGGTAAAAGTGATTTAAACTCTGAATTTCTGTTGCAAGTGTTCAAATGGCATTCAACATATGGATGTCTAATTCCAACAATAGAAAACTTTTCCCAACCAAAATCTCCCTGATAGAGTTGTTATTGAATACATCTTATCCATACACTCTCGTCATTCATTTACCAACAAAAAGACATGCAAAACAGTTACAGAAACACACCTTTTCTTGCTATTATCATCCCATCTGTACCTGTGCTCCTCAGCTGCACCATGAGTCATGTCCTCCTCCTTCCTTTGAAGACTGAGCCCCAGCATATTTAGTCAAGACCACAAGATGTAGTCACAGATCACCTTACAAATAAGAGGAACAGATGATCTGCTCCATGATGTGATTTGCACATCACAGGGTCAAAAAATTATATTCATATGTGTACTATTCTGAGGGTTGCCAGGTTTAGCAAATAAAAATTTAGAAGCCCTATTCATTCTACAAGCATCGCCCAAACCAGCCTGGCTGCAGGGTCTGAGAACCACCAGATGAGAAGCCTCAGTCAAGGAAACAGGTCCACATAGTGGGCTGGTCACTGGATTTGGAGGCTGAAGACCGGGGTGCTGGTCTCAGGTCTTTCCACTTAGAAGCTGTTTTGTTTGAGTAAATCCATTATGATTTTTACCACCAACATCCTATTATCAAAAGGTCCATTTCCAGACTTTTGGGAACCACTACCTTTTGTGAGCCACCATATGCTAGGTGCTGGGTAAACAATAAACAAAATAAACAAGCACGGTGCTCTGCCCTCAGGGAGCCTGATGTCTAGCAGGTTAGAAACATATGAATTCAAGGGGGAAAGGTGGGGCTGAAAATCAGACCCAGCTGATGTCTTTTGTTTTTGTCTTTCAGCTGTCATTGCATCTTGGTCAGATTACACTGCTACACTTCCCTTCAGTGTGCATACTGAGCATCTGCTTTTATTGCATATTTGTTTTCCTGAGAAGCCTTTTACCCTCAAGATATCAAACACAACCCATTGCTTACAAATAGTAGCCTCTACACAGATGAACAGGACACTATGATATCTTGTCATCTAAATTAATCATCATTTTTGAGACGGTAAATACCTTTGGGGAAGTCATACATGAAAATGCCATTTTTCTTCCTGCCAGAGAGAAGTGTCTTCTGTGCCATTTGCAGTACCCTGCTCATCAGATGAGCATCCTGGAAGAAGAGATGAGAACAGAAGGAAATTCCCCGGCTGCTGACGGTTTCCCACAGAGTCCCCAGCATCCACAAAGGAAGAGTTCTTCCAGCATAGGTCCAGAGGGACAGGAGTGACAGCAATGCTTACCAGAGCAAGTTTAGGGTATGCAGACCCAGTTCAGGCCCCCTCCGAAATTTAAGTCCACAGTGAGAACAAACTGCTGGCGCATACAACCAGGAAGTAGCAATTCCTGGCCTTGTCACATTGACCTGCCTGCGTTCCTTTGTCCATGAGCTCAGCTATTTTTTTATTTTTATTTTTTTTAGTGGTAAAGCCCAGGTGAACAACTAAAAAAAAAAAAAAGAAAGAAAGAAAAGAAATTGCTTTCTTTAAAATGTTAACATGCTATTATTCTTCTTTCTACTAATAAAAATGCACCCATGCAATTAAGATACTTTCCAGGACCACTCATCTGTCCTCTGCTTACCCAATCGCTGCTTTTTCCAAACCTTGCAAACTCATTGTCCGGGCGTTCTCTCTGAGATGGTGAAATCCCACTGACTCGAAGTGAAATGGAAGAAGCTCTAAAGTCGGGAGCGGTCAGCTTGTTTGAATCGCTGCTCTACCTCCCAATTGCTGTGGGAATTTGAGCAAGTCATCTAGTTGCTCTAAAACTGTTTTGTCATCTGCTCATCAGGGTATAATGTATTTGACAACCTCTAAAAGAGGCACTCTCACAGATGGTCAGTAAGATAAATTACACAATTTAAAACCTATTTTCATAAATATATAACAACAAACTACAGTCATGGGTTTTTGGTACAGTTTCTTTCTTTCTCAGTACAGAGCTCAGTTGATTAAGCAATTCTAATTACTATACCAATCACGAGTTAATGGGCATCTTAAAACACTGTCATCTTATGTCAGGCTGAGAGAGATCTGGTGACACAGCAGGAGTGTCAAAGCTGGAACAAGGACTCCAGGGACCTCGATTTCATCATCTCCAACTGCTCACCTCCAGTCTTAGCTATACTATAAACACTGGTATGTTAGGCAAATCAGTGTATAACTGAACCCCCATTGTGCACCAGGTGAAAGCCTTTCCAAAAAGGATTCTGGGATCTATGCAGTTTAAGGGAAGTACTAAATGTCTAAGTGTCCCTAAAATTTCTGCCATCAGCAAATTCCATGAAGGTTCTATGTATGCCATGAGAGATGGTGTGTCCAAGGGTGCCAGGGGCCCAGTCAGCTTACCAGTGTCTTTTCTGATGTAGCCAAATATGATTAATGACTTAAAACCAAGAACAAATCAATCCAGGTTTTATGTTAATATCCACAACCTTGTGTACAGGTTTTGCTGCTGATTATTTACTACCTAGGGCATGGAGAGTAGTAATCATCCAGTATCATGCTCAGTAAGCTCTTCTCACCAAGGACTCCGTTCTGTTATCGGAGAATAATAGAAGCAGGGTGGCGTAGGAAACTATGAACTTCTGCATTAGGCCAAAGCTGTGAATCCAAGCTATGCCTGCAAAGTTACTCCTGGCAACATAGTTTATTTAGTTGGAAAGAGAAGAAAATATTGTGAATTTAAAAAGTGTATTTTAATATAGGTGGCCAAAAATGGCACCAATCATTATTACTGATACTATTAGCATACTTTTATGCTAACAGTTGGTTCTAACTGTAAATGTTTTCAAATTCTTTAAAAAGACATCATCCTTGACAAGTATCATAAATAATGAAAGCTCACACAGAAAGGAAGTTGGTTTACATAATTTTCCGATCAATTGACTATTACTCCCCTTTGGGAAGCTTCAAAATAGATGCAGTGAAAACCAGAGATAAATATTGTGTCCTGTGATTATGTGGATTTGAATATACTGCAGTCAGAATGTGCATCCCACCTTTTGCCACAAGCTTATCTTGGTCATTTTAATAACGTCAACACAGGCTGAGTTTTTTGGACTAACAGTATAGCATCATAGGAAGATTTTATATTTTAAATTTGGATTTCACCATTGTAATGGTCTTTGGCTGTGTCAGTTTGGCTAGGCCAGTCTCCAGTTAATCCATCAAACTTTAATTTAAGTGTTGTTATGAAGGTATTTTGTAGATGTGACTGAAGTCCATGATCAATCCACATTAACTAAGAGAGAGTATCCTAGATAAACTGGGTGGGCCTAATTCAAGCAGTTGAAAGGCCTTCAAAGTAGAACTGGTTTCTCCCAGGAGGAAAAAATTCCACCTATGGGCAGCAGCTTCAGCTAAGTACCTGCCTGTGAATTCTAGCTTGCTCCACTTAACGGCCTGCCTTTTGGGATTTCTGATTTGTCTAGCCAGTCCCACAATCATGTAAGCCAATTCTTGCAATAAATCTCTTAAGAAATATCTTCTACCGGTTTTGTTTCTTTGGTTAAATGCTAATTGACATAGCCATAGAATCTTTCTTCTTTTTGTATTAAATTTAATTGACTGCATCTTGGTATCTCAATTGCTCCTAAAGTTTCTCTTTATTATGTATGTGTTGAGTAGCATTCATGGTAGATGTGAAATGGTTTTTTTTTTCTGTTTTCAGGGTATATATGAAAATGTTTTTAATTCAACATGTTCCTCAATTTCGGTATATCTTTCTTCCCATTTCAGAAAAAACTATCAAATGTAGATTCAATGACAATCTTCTTTTGTAATTTAAAAAAAAAAGTTATTTAACTATTGCATAGGAGAAAAAAAGAAAATAAAACCCTCATATCTAATTGGCAAAAAGTTGAAACTCATATACAAATAACTGATATTTCGTATCAGTTTTCTTTTTTTTTTTTAAGATTTTATTTATTTATTCATGAGAGACACAGAGAGAGGCAGAGACATAGGCAGAGGGAGAAGCAGACTCCATGCAGGGAGCCCAACATGGGACTCGATCCCAAGACTCCAGGATCATACCCTGACCTGAAGGCAGGTGCTTTAACTGCTGAGCTACGCAGGCATCCCATTTCCTATCAGTTTAAAAGTGGATTTTAAAAGGCCTTAGCGGGATCCCTGGGTGGCGCAGCGGTTTAGCGCCTGCCTTTGGCCCAGGGCGCAATCCTGGAGACCCGGGATCGAATCCCACGTCGGGCTCCCGGTGCATGGAGCCTGTTTCTCCCTCTGCCTGTGTCTCTGCCTCTTTCTCTCTCTCTGTGACTATCATAAATAAATAAAAATTAAAAAAAAAAGAATCAGCTTTATAAAAAAAAAATAAAAAAAAATAAAAAATAAAAGGCCTTAGCTTTTAGAAATGGAAGTGCGATCTGAAATCATTTTGTCAAAATAGGAGCAGACACTGTCATTGCTTTGCCAAGTGACAATCCAATTTTAAATAATTCGGCAGTAAAATTTCCGTAATTCTCCTAGAGAGAATTCCTTAAAACTGTTTCTTAATACTAGTGGTCTTTTGCCAAGTTTCATTTCATCTTTAACTTCTCTTAGAACTTCTAAAGCTAGAATATAATTATATACACACAGGCTTTGAGAACTAATTTGAAAATAAAAACCCAAAGGAAGCAGGATTTGAAACTCAACTCAGATTTTAATTTAACAGAAAGTATTACTCATGACAAATCTAAGATGAAGTAGTCCTTAAAAAAAAAAAAAACTCCACTTTTAGAAATGTTAAATGTTTATTCATTTTCTCACTGGAAGCTCTTCTCCTGGTTGTAATAACAATATGCACACATATCCAGTTTTTTTTTTTCTTGAATTACAACCCAAAATTCAAAGTGGTTTCTTTTTTTAATATATAGGGCAGGTACTATTGTAAAATAAATTAATTTTAATTACAAAGGACTAGTACCAATATATAGCTAAGAAATGTATTACCATTTACCTGTCTTAACAAACATGTGCTTTGATATTTTTATTATTTAAAAACTGAGTCTTCAATGAAGGCATTTTAGCAGGACTATGGTTGTGAAAATAAATTTGAATTAAGCAGTTCTTTAAACTTAGAAATCATAGTAGAATAAAATGTCAAGCAAGTAGAAATTTTTCTGTGATATATACATAAATATTTTCATGTAAACAAAAGCAAAGATTAAGAACAAATTAAATATCTTTGTCAGCAACTGAAATTATACATTGAGTAAAAAGATTATTTTTATTTTCTTCATGCTTCCATTGAACACGACTGGCATAAGCAGAGCAATGGGAAATTAGATGAATTTTACATTCCCCTCATACTCTTCTGGAGATTATATACAACAAAGACATCTCTCTAGAAGAAAAGAAAATATTAGAGGAACTAGATTCTTGAAAGTCATGACTTTCAAATACTAAATCACTCCTTTTGCTCTACCATGAAACAACATGGTCTATCAGAACTTTGCCAGCTGAAAGAAGGTACAGCTGACACTGGCAAGATCCAGTACTAACACACGTGGCAGCAAATAAGGTACAACAATGTGTAGATTTTCCTCTATATATGGATTACCCATGCACTAAGAGATAATGGCTTCCAACACAAGCATTTATGTGTAAAACAGACAATATTAAAATGGGTGTATTTTCAACCAGAGTGCTTCTTGAAGCACCAGCTTCAGGATCAGGGACCCAGGGCCCTGCCTTGGAATCAGAGTGCTCAAGGAACTAAAGTGTGCATTCCCGGGCCCAAACCCAGCCCCTTTGGGGAACCCCAGCTTCTGTATTGCTAACAAGCTCCCCTGGGAATACAGAGACACAAATTCCTATTAAAGTTTGAATAGCACTACTCCAGACTATTGGGGATTTCTTCCAGACTCTTTCTCCTGATCACAAATATTTCACAATCTTTCTCATGCCTCTTACTTATTAGCCAGATGGAAAAGGAAAACTAAGACATCTCTTGTGTCTGCCTGCGGTGATAATTAGTAGTGGTATTTTCTTTCTCCCTCAAGAAAATACAGGGGAATAGGCAAAATATGATTCCGCACCTAAATTTTTCAAAGGTCCAACAGAGTACATTTTTTTTAAAGCTTTTAAAATGTGTACATGATAAAAAACATTCAAAATGATTTGTAAACTGTCCCCTATCAAGAGTCTCCAGTGTAAAGAGAACCGCTGTTGGCTGTTGGGTGGTGTTGCTGAGTTCCTAAGGCCCCACGTGGTCTTCTCTCACAAACACTGAGCATCTCAGCAGGCACTCTTGAGCTCTGCAGAACAATGCACTGCCTACCAGGCAGCACAAAAGTACCGAAGGACAGCTCATAAGGAAGGACAAAGAAAACAAAGCTCAGTTTCAACTTCTATCACAATGGGAGTCTCAAGACCTACTGCCAATATGGAAGATGAATACAGAATCACGATGACTTTCCTCAGAGAAAGTCTAATTTCAAATATCCTTATTAATATCCACTTGAAAACCAGTTTATATTGAAAATGGAAAAGCATGATACAGTTCCATGTGCTCCTACGTATCTACTACAGTGTTTACGTTCTCTAAGCTCCCAAATGGACTAAAACAATTTTAACCTGTGAATAATATAAATTAGAAACCAAAGAGGTAGGTGACTATCAGCAAAAGCTGATCCCGAAACAACATGCTGAATAAGTGCTCTGAGTCCCAAAAGAGTTCTTCATCTGGAAAATGAGTTCTAATACCATTACAATTGCCTTAAGAGCAGGGTTCCCCAGGTCCTTCATGGTGTCATCAACCTTCCAAAGTCCTAGTTCCTGATACTGTGCTAGGGGCTTTTCAGACATTCAGTAGACATTCCATTTTAAGAAACAGCTAGTAAGTAAACTGTAAAGAAGTAATACTGGAGACCAAAGATTGATGCTGACGTCAGCCGAGCTCTTCATATATCTCTACTCCCACATGGAGGAAAGCACAGTAGAGTTGGGCCAATTCATCTAATCCAACTGTGTGGTTGTAAAACTGAAGAAACAGAGGCTCATTTTTCCCACTGGCTCACAAAGTACTAAAATTCTGAAAAGAAGCTATAAAAATCCAAAAAGTATTCATGTTAACCTAGCTATTTATAAAGTCAAGAGGTGTGTGGCCAAGAGGCTACATTTTCAACCCTTATAGCCTTGGTCTGCAGCCCCAAACCCATTGGCTGCTTTATAAAGTGTGTCAGTGGCCACAGAGCAAGGGGACCAAAGGCTCTGATGTACCTAGGGGGGCAGGTCGTCAGCAAGAGGAAAAAAATGTGAAACCCTGGACCTGCCCTGTTAAAACTTGCTCTATGCTCGTACCAGGACTTATCGTTGCTTCTCTGAGCACATTTACAAACTTCGGCTCAGCCATGGGCAAGCCCTCAGGCAACCGTGCTACTTGGCCGAGAACATTTAGAACCAGTTGGACAACAGAAAATCTCTGAACCAGCAAGGCCAGGACCTGCATACAGCTGTAATTAACTTCTCCGTAGTCAGTCACTTGTTTTGAAAAAAAAAAAAAAAAAAAAAAAAAATCACCTAATTTCCTCATAGCCTTATCTGTCTAAGATATTTAAGATCCACTGTAAAAGGGTAGGTGTGAATGATTTTTTTTCTATTTTCCATACTTTCTGTAATGTTTTCACATTTCTTTTGGTTACAAAAAAAGTGAAGCTATTTTTAAAAGGTGCTAGTCTAAAAAAAATTAAAGGATACACAGAGTTCCTTCCTAACTATGAAATACTTAAACCTGAATGATATGTCTACGTGGCACAGAAGAACAGCAGTCACAGGATTCTGACAGATTCTTTTGGATTCCAGCTCTACCATTAACCTTGGGCAAGATTTTCGTCTCTCTAAGACTTACTTTCTGCATAAAAAAGAAAGAAAGAATACCTACCTCACAGGACGCTGTGAGGATAAAGATGCACAGTGCCTGGAAGATGGTAGGTGCCCAGTAAAACGATAGATCCTTCTGCTTGGTGAACTCAGAATCCTTGAGTCAGAGGAAATACCACAGCCCACACCAGCTACCCCTCAATGCATCCCATTTAAATATGCAGGGATGCTCTGTCTCCTGGATTTTGCCCTATTTGCTCTGAAGAATCACTATTGTGCTTAGAAAAATGTCTACATTTTTTATGTTCTTTAAAACTGGACATGCAGATAAAACATTTTTTAAAAACTATCTTCCTAGAAATGATAATGCAATGTTCCCTAAAGCACATCAGGTCATGTATTAAAAAAACAATTCTGAAAAACATGACTGAATTAGTTTGTACATTATTTCTTAAAGTGCACCAAAGTAAATATTAACGACCTTTAAAATGTCACTAACCCCCTTGGGTTATTCTTTTTAATAAAAGTAAATATTTATCTACTGAGATATATGTGGTTTTGGCTCCAAAGTGATGGCAAAAAGCAGCAACGTCTTCCAGAAAAAAAATGATAAACTCAATTAAGCATACCTTAGCAGCATACAAAACACCTACAATTCAATGTAACTGCAGGCTCATTAAAGCACAATCCTGATTCCTGCTTCAAAAACAAAATCAATCAAAGAAACAAAATACCATCTCCCCATCTTAAATCAAGGATTTCTCTTGAACCCTGGAGGTAACATTTGTGATTATTTCCCTATTACATATCCTCAGTAACAGAAATCTAACTAATCACCATTCTTTCTTTACACTGCACACACACACATACACACAAACCCTATAAAAAACAATAAAGTATACTTGGAGAACTCATGTGAAAGAAAACTCAAAGTCCGATAAAGAGCAACCATCACCCAAAATGTCAGGCAGTACCATATTCACACCACTGTCCGGTGTTCCCCACACACATAGACAGCACTGGGACGTATCCGCCGCTTTGTGTGACCAGGAAGACGTGGCAAAAACTTGAACGACTTGGGCATCATGTCCAGGCAGGCATCATGGAATTTTTTAATCCTCCAGTAGTAAATCAGTGGGTTCAACGCAGACTTGAGGTAGCAGAGCCAGAGTAGCCAGGTGCTAATCTCAAAAAAGTTGTGCTTATAGTAAAAGTGCTTACTGAACGTTGCCACAAGGCTGTAAGTGGTGAATGGGGCCCAGCAGACGATGAAGACAGCAAAGAGAATCAAAATGGTGGTGAAGGCACGTGTTTTAAAGCCCATATCAATGCTCATCTGGAAGGGTCTCTGTAGACTCATGAGACCCAGTTTGCTGGCCTGGCTGAGGCATATACCCTCCGGGTAGCTGTGAATTCTCAAGGCATTGTGCCGAAGGGTGTTGAGTATGCCCATGAATGAATACAGTATCACCAGGAAGGGTATGAAGAAAGAAACTAGAGAAATCAAAATCACATAAGCTTGGTAACCTGGGTTGGTTGTATACCCAAACACACACTGGGGGGCTCGGGAAGGTATCTGCAGGTCAGGGTTTCCTACAGCCAAAGGAAAGGCTATACAGAAGGAAGCCACCCAAGAAACTGCAATTAGAATCTTAGCCCTATATGGATTTAGCTTATCCTGCCTCTGGACTATAATAAGGAACCTATCGATGCTAATGATGAGCAGGATGGCTACTCCCTCTATCACAAACAACCAGAAAAACATAGCAGATATCCTACAGAAGAACGTCCCAAAAATCCATCTTGTAGTAAGAATAGTTACCAAGGCGAAGGGCATGTTCAGCACTGCAAGCAACATGTCTGCAAATGCCAGGCTGGCAAGGAGGATGTTAATTGCAGAGCGCATGGCAGCTTTTTGGTAAACCATCAGGCAAACAACCAAGTTCCCAAGAAAAGACACAAACAGAATAAATATCATTAGAGCAGAAAGGATGATCTGCAGAGGCAAGTTTAGGCTCTTAAAAACTGCTGGTGTTGGGGGTACAGCTGTGCTATTCACTGTCAAGGAACTCATTGGAGTGGAAGCCATGGTTTCCATACTGTATCTAAGCAGCGGGCCAATGCCGGGATGCTGGAATGGTGGAGGGACAGTAATGTTCACATAAGTGTTTTCATAGACGACAAATGTTGTGTTGGTTGCCCCAGTATGGGACGCAGTCAACACTGCAGAGAAGACCATGGTTTCAGCAGAATGGCAGGCGCTGACAAAGATGTGGGTGTTCTTCAAGCATTTCAACACAGAGCAGCAGTATCATGTTTCATGGATGGGTTTGGAAACACATTCTGGAAAACAAAGAGTTCCACCTTCCATAGGAGTCCTTTTGCCTGAAAACAAGCCCAAAACAAAAAGTCAATGAGAAATGGGCTTTGTAAATAACACTTGACTTACCTTTCATCATGAAAGATCAGTTCTTTAAATCTTGAAAAATATTTAAGTCTCTAGCTTAGTCAACACTAAAATATTGTTGTTCTGTTTTATATTTGTTAAAATGATGGAATTTTCATGGCATTTATATATAAAGTGAAAATGAAGAGAATCAAAATGTATTACTGCCTCAAAGGCAAAAGTTATAACTTTCCTGTTAATTTTTCTTTTAAATGTCCAATAGCAACATGGCCTTTCCACAGTCACTATTAATACCGATTCTAATATCTGTTTTTCCTGAAAGTACTAATACTTTTCTTAATAACTTTGGTACAAGTTCATATTCCATTTTTATATTAACACAAAACTGTCTGGCAAACCCTGAACTCAGTTTTCTATGGAATGCATTATAATCACACACTTTTGACCTAACACCCTAACCTAGTCAGTACTAGGTTATTTTCTATGAAAGTCTGAAACAAGCTGCTGGCTTTCTTTTTTGTGTGTTTCTTCTCAGAAATCTCAACATCAACCACTCTGGAGAAGTTAGTCAAGATGAGAAAAAATATATATGTAAAAAGTCTTGGTAATATTTTCAAGAGTTTTCTTTTTCTAAAGCTCTCTTTGCTTCTCGTATTGTCTTCTTTCCCAGGCCTACCCATTTCCAGCCTTTAATTTCTGATTTATTTATATTATCTTCTCAGTTTCTTCTCCCTAAAGTCGACCTGAATGTGTGCTTGCAACCTGATAAAAGATGTCAAACAAACAATAAAGATGGGGATTCTAAAGATGATCAGAAAAACATTCAGGTGTGGAGAATATATTATAGAAAGCATTCCAAAATATTTGGTTATCTTTCTTTTTAGGACTTTATTCTTAAGTAATTTCTATGCCCAACATGGGGCTCAAACTCACAACTTTGAGATCATACATGCTCTACCAACTGGAGCCAGCCAGGTACCTCAAAGATATTTGGTTATCTTGCTCCAGAAGTTTCTTACCACCTTTCTCTAATCCTTACCCTTAACTTCATATTAATTTCCACAAGCCTAGAGTTTTCCATAAGGGACTTTTAAAATCTATTATCTTATTAAACTACTTTCATGGTGTGGGCTCTTCCTGCTTTACTAGGGATGTAACCTCTTTAATTAGAAAGACCTCTCTTTGGCGTTTTGAGTAGATTGCTTTAATAAATACTAAATGCATAGAAGTTTAAAACAACACTGAAATGTGCTCATTATTTGGATTTAGAATTAAGTCATCAATTTTAGGGGAAAATGCAGAAAGTTCGCTTATTCATTTCTTGGGGTATGAAGGGAGGCATTCCATATGCAAGACCCTTCAAGATCCAGCACTATAGTCAAATCACAGGCTCTCTACCATACTTGTGTCTCTCCACAACCCCCTCTTCATTGTCCAGGGCTGCCTTTATGAACAAGGAGAATACTAATGTTTGTTCAAAATATTAATTTTACTATTTATTCTCATTTTTATAGCTTAAGTTCTCTGTCCCTATTAGATTTTATCCATCTTCACATATTCACTTTGAAATGCAAAATATACTTGAACAAGAAGCCACACTAATCCAGCAATTCTCAAACTTTATTAACCACAATGGTCCAATGGGTAGGAAGCAGTGGTAGCTGGAAAGGTTTACAACATAATCACCATAGGTCTCTTTAACGGTACCTAAATATAAGAAATATAAATACATATATAAAATTATTTAAGCATACATACAATTAGGAATAAAGACCATGCTTACTACATAAATCAGTTTCAATACAAGTCTACCTCTAAAGAAAAATTATAAATAGGCAATGTGTATCTTAAGCCTAATGCAATAGCTATAATTGTGCCTGAACAACTAAAACAAACACATCTTCATTCCAAAGTAATGAAGAAACAGCTTTATATTTATTTCTTTCTCACTAAAGTATAATTGACAGGTAACTTTAGTTTAGTTTCATTTGTACAACATATTTGATATTTGGATATATTGAGAAAACGATCCCCACAATAAGCCTAGTTAACATCTATCACATCTATCACCACAATTAAAAAAATCTTTTTTCTTGTGATGAGAATTTTTAAGATCTACTCTCTTAGCAACTTTTATATATGCAATTCAGTATTACTAACTATAGTCCCCATACTATACATTATATCCCCATGGCTTCTGGAAGTTTGTACCTTTGGACACGCTTCACTAATTTCACCCCCTTCCACCCCCGCTGCCTCTGGCAACCGCCAATCTCTTATTCTCTTTTATCTGTGAGTTGGGGTTTTTCTTGGTTTTTGTTTGTTTATTCTAGATTCCACATATAAGATCATACAGTACTTGTCTTTGTCTTACTTGTTTCACTTAGCTTGATGCCCTCAAGGTCCGTCCATGTTGTTGTAAATGACAAGACTGCATTCTTTTTATGAATATTCCATTATGTATACATACCACAATTTCTTTATCCATTCATGCATCCATTCATTTATCGATTCATGCATTAAACATTTAAGTTGTTTCCATACCTTAGCTATTATAAACAATGCTGCAATGAACATGGAGGTGCTTCAATCTTTCTGAATTAATGTTTTTGTTTTCTTCAGATAAATACCCAAGAGTGGAACTGCTAAATATATGGCAGTTCTATTTTTAATTTTTTGAGGAATTTCCACACTGTTTCTATAGTGGCTGCACCAATTTAGATTTCCACCAACAGTACATGACGGTTTCTTTTTCTCCACATCCTCACCAATACTTATTTTTTGCCTTTTTTATAATAGCCATTCTAATAGGTATGAGGTAATATCTCACCGGTTTTGATTTGCATCTCCCTGATAGGTGATGTTGAGCATATTTTCATTTACCTGTTGGCCATCTTATGTCTTTTTTGGGAAAATGTCTATTCAGATCTTCTGCCCACTTTTTATTAGGATTGTTTGGTTTTCTGCTGTTGAATTGTATGGGTTCTTTATAAATTTTGGATATTAACTCCTTATCAGATACATGATTTGTAAATATCTTCTCCCATCCAGCAGGCTTTTTGTTTTGTTAATGGCCACACTTTGAGACACTTGATTTCCTCACCCATGTTGAGGAAAAAAAACAAAAACCACAATTTAAAAGATGCTTTTTAGATTGCTATATAAACATATAGTCATATTTTTCTGTCATCAAAGCCCCCCCCCCCCGCCATTACTATAAAAACATCTACCTTAATTCATTCTGTTATTCATTCACCAAATGTTTAAGTACCTAGTATGTGCCAGGCACTAGAGAGACAGCAATGAACAAATGGTTTAGATCTCTGGTTAAAGGACAGACTGACCATAGATCCTGCATCTCAAAATCACACTGAAATGAAAGAAAGGGATTTTTTAAACAAAATCTACAACCCCAAAGGACAAAAGGTATGAATGAAAAATGCATCAACAGATAAGGATTTTTTTAAAGTGTCATAAGACAAAAAGCAGATGGCAATGCAGTAGCTGACTGAACAGAACCGAAGAGAACAGAGAACTGTATCCTCAATATTCCCAGGGAAATATGCTTAGAAGAAGCTGACACACCTTGTGGAGCAGCTCTGCATTGGAAAGTACCCGTTACCACAGAAAGTGGTGTAGGTGGCACAAAAAACTGTTAAACTGCCTGAAAATCTATCTCCAGAGCCCCTAGAACCCCACTCCACACCCCAGTCTCCCCTCTTCTGTGCAACCACATGAAAGCACACACTCCCATTCCTTGGGCTATTATCCCACAGCCCAAGTCTGTGGCACAACTGAATCTGAGAAGCATCAAAACTTGAGACTATGAGTGCAAAGCTGAAAACAGGGAGAGTGACTGAATGTCTGCACATTCCACATGAGAATCTAGCCTTCTCTACCCTGCTTCCAAGGTGCCAGCAGCCTGGCATATGCTACTCAGGCAGGACTAAAATGTTCATATGCTCCAGTAACTAAAAAGCCCTAGAGGAAAAGTTTCTAGATTCAACATTTGATGGTACCCCAAGAAAAATGCTAGCTTGGTGCCCAATCATCTTGTTTACTAAAGCCCACCCACTATCAAGCCCAATCCAAGCACACAGAGCTTCTAATTAGCTTCTCGGTGCCTATTAAATATAAGTAGTCAATTTCCCTGATAAAGTTCTTCAAAGGAATTAAAGCAAAGGCAATTTTGTAATTAAACATTAAGGAAAAGAATCAGAATTTATAACATCAAGGAACATCGCATGCATGGACTTAATAACACCTTTTTCCTTGTATCTATATAGTATTCTTCATTCACTGTACTCCAGGCTCACCATAACATAAACATAAATGCTCTCTGGCCTTCTTCCTTTTTTTTTTTTAATTTTTATTTATTTTATGATAGTCACAGAGAGAGAGAGAGAGAGAGAGAGAGAAAGAGGCAGAGACATAGGCAGAGGGAGAAGCAGGCTCCATGCACCGGGAGCCCGACGTGGGATTCGATCCGGGGTCTCCAGAATCGCGCCCTGGGCCAAAGGCAGGCGCCAAACCGTTGCGCCACCCAGGGATCCCCTTTCTTCCTTTTCTTACTGAAAAGCATAATAACCAAAGCAGTGCTTTGAATGCTCAATAATAACTATGTTAAAAGATTCTTTCCTCCCAGGACTTTTCATCAAATACTATTGTTACCTGAAGTTTCATTTGAATTTTATAGAAGACTGAATAAAAGTTTTATAGCCAAAATTTACATTTCCAAAAAACAAAATAAAATTTGCACTTCCAAAGGAAATGGGACAGTAGAAACCTCAGTACTAGAAAATCAGCTTAGTTTGATAATATCTGCATAACAGTCCTAATGTTAAATCTAATCTAGACTCATCTTTATTGGTCATTTGCTGGAAACTCTTACTACATTTTCCAAATAAGAAAAACTTAAAATTCTGTGTGAATGTGTGCATATATGTATATAAACACACTCCACAGGTATGCACACATG